CAAAAATAATTGGTAAACATGTAATAATGGTTGATATAATTGGTGATGGTTTAGGTAATGTGGACACAGCAGTGGTGTGCGGTTGCAATCTGACGACTACACCAGTGATTGCTTTGAATCAACAAATGTTGGGAATGTGTTCAAAGAGAGGAGTTTGCGCTCCACTGGACAGCGAGTCCGACGGCTACGTGAAGGCCGACGCCGTCTGTTGTGTTCTCTTACAGCGACGACCGGAGGCCCGGCGTCTGTACGCAACCATACGTTCAGTTCGACTCAATGTCGACGGCTTTAAGAAAGACGGAATGTTTCGTCCGGGAAGTGAGTCTCAAACTGAGCTAATGGTCCGCACGTATACCGACGCCGGGATAGACCCGACACAACTCACTTACATAGAGGGCCACTGCGCCGGCACTCAGGTTAGAGTTTACTAATTACAAATAGTGGCTTAATTTACTACTTTATAATTAATATACAAGTACAAGTAAATATTGTTTTTAACTTATTTAATTTATTGAATTAACATTGAATTATAACAACTGCAAGTAGGAAAGCAGCATAATAAAATGAACATTTAAATAATTTGCACACAATGTTTGGTAAATCTTCAAAATTGCTATTATGTAATTGAATAAAATTAATTAATAGTTTAAAATAGTCAGATTTAAGCGATGCCGGGTAATAGCTTAAAAGCTATTGATAGCTTTTTAGTCCAAAGCTTTATCCAAAATGTAACAGTTTTGAGCAATTAACGTAATATTTTATTATACAGTGTAAATTTTAAGATTATTCTTGAAAAAATAAATTAGTTAATTTTTTCACATTTTTCTAAACTTTTTTAAAATTAATTTATTGATTAAATTATATAAATTATAAATTTATCCTGATATGAACAGATTATCTAGATGTAAAACTTGTCAGATGTATAGCTTCGCTGTACAAATCCAATACATTGTTCACGTGTTTTCAATAATAGAGTAAAAGCTATGAATGTTTCAATATATGACTTTTGACAAGTGCTTCACTTAGAGAGACAGATCAGTCGTGTCAGGGATACACACGCTCTGACATCATGTATGCATTACGTGTATAGGAATTAATAAATTCAATTCAATCTGGGTATATAACGGGGTACCAAACGTGGGTTCTAACGCTTTATAATAATTGTCTTTATCTGTAATAAGATGTAAGTTTACATTTAGTTAAAATACATGTTCTCTATGTCTGAATGCGGGTCCGAAGATGTAGTGATCGGAGGAATACCCGTTCATTCATATTCTAATTAAATTACATTTTAATAACATATTTTAACATGAAATATAGTTTTATTATAAAAGCTTAAAATTTAATGTTGTCTAATAATTTAAATAAACGCAATATTATAATTTAATTATTTTGTTGCTTGGTAAAATTAACCAAATTTCATTTACCATCATATACTATATATGAGAAATTTTTAATAATATAGATTTATTAAATATTAAATGTAGTTGTTTATAAAATTTTCCATTAGACAATTAGCTAAAATATATAATGATAAATATATTAATTTAGTAATTAGTGACTATCTGTTTAATAATATTAATTAATTTAATTATTCAACAATTATTTTTCATGAAAAAAAGAAGAAGTGAAACATTTTAATGGCTGTCATTGAAAACAATGTGTTTTATGCGGACGAAGAGTACCGAAAGACGGCTCACATCTCATCACTCGATGAGTACAGAAAACTATACCAAAAGTCAGTCTCAGATCCCAAAGGCTTTTGGAGTGAAATCGCGAATAACTTCTATTGGAAGCGATGGACACAAGAAGTAGAGGTCGTGTCCTATAATTTCGATGTCACTAAAGGACCCGTTTGTGTGAAATGGTTGGACGGATGCAAAACCAATGTCTGCTATAATGTCTTGGATTTGGTTATCGAGAAAGGACTCGGAAATCGTGTCGCCTATTATTGGTCAGTGTTTTAATGAATTATGCTGATAAATTCAATTAAACCTTTTTTGGCAAACATATGAAATGTTTATTGCAAATGATTCGATGATGGTTATATTTTAGTAAACTAAATTATTGTATTTTAATTTTAAAAAATAACAGGGAATCTAATGATGATAATTCACACAAAATAATTACTTACGATGAATTACTGCGCGATGTCTGCAGATTTGCAAATGTACTCAAAGGGTTGGGCATTAAAAGGGGTGATAGAGTGGCCATATATATGTCGGTAACCGTAGAGTTGGTCACTGTTATGCTGGCCTGCGCTCGCATTGGAGCCATTCACTCAGTAATTGTACGTTTATTCAAAAATATACATATAATAGTTAAATAATTTATATTTAAAATGTGTAGTTTTTAATATTTAATGATCATTTGAATAGTTCGCCGGTTTCTCTGCCGAATCCCTCGCCGAACGTATAATAGATGCCAATTGTGTGGTATTAGTCACTTCTGACGGCGCCTTTCGGGCTAAAAAATTTATACCATTGAAATCAATCGCCGACTCAGCACTCGATATATGCAAACAAATGTGAATTTTAAAAATAATATTAATTTATTTAAACATTTATAAAATATTTGACTTTATTTTTTATATAATTTACTTTAGGAACCACAAAGTGATGGCCTGTATTGTAAATCCACACTTAAATCTCAATAGAAATAATATAAATGATGTTTTAAACAATAATATTGAGAATACATGTGGGATTAATTGGGACCCAAATGTGGACATCCTATGGACTGATGTCATGACAAATGTTTGCAATTATTGCAAACCCGAATGGATGGAAGCGGAAGACCCGCTGTTCATAATGTATACCAGGTTTGTTAGCAAATATAATTTGTTGTAAAATATTATAACTACAAAATCAAATACATTTATGTGTATTATTATATTCTAAGTGGAAGTACGGGAAAACCAAAAGGCATTGTCCATACAGTCGGTGGTTATCTCCTCTACTCTTACATAACATTCAAATATGTATTCAATTATACCGACGGAGACGTGTTTTTCTCGACCGCAGACTTGGGATGGATTACTGGCCACACATTCAACGTTTACGGATCGCTGGCCAACGGGTGTTCAATAGTGCTCTTTGAGGGCACTCCCACTCACCCAAACCCGGGCCATCTCTGGCATATAATAGACAAATGGAGAGTTAATATCTTTAATACTGCGCCCACTCTTATCCGTTCGCTCATGAAGTTTGGCGACCAATACGTCAAACAATACTCTCGACAGACACTGAAAGTGTTGGGAACGGCGGGCGAACCCATCAATCCTGAGGCGTGGCTTTGGTTCTGGGAAGTGGTCGGCGATCGTC